TTGTACAATGTTCCTGAGCGAAAAACCATGGCTGGAGATTTCCGCGATTACTTTTGCATCGTAGGTTAGGTTTAGGGACTTTCTTCAAGATTCAAATGCCTAAGAGAGAAGGATCAATAAATATCGCAAAGGGAAAATAATGTTTCTTCTTTGTTCTGCTTATGAGTATTCCAAATAGGTTCAACAATCAATGAGTTCATGTATCTTCAGTATTCATTCCATTAAAATATGGATTCCTAAACTATTTTTATCAAAAGGAAAATACAAAAAAATTAACTTTTGTCATCCTCATTGTTTTGGTTCCTATTCATCGTCGTCTTTTCAATTCTCAAACACTTTGATGTAACGATGACTTAATGCTCTTAACAATTTCTGTAAATCTTCTAGATCTATATGACCACACATATAATTAGGGTACCAAGGGGGAAGCCGGTAACAGATTTTGAGCGCAGTATTTTGAACACATTGAAGTTTCGTCCAACTGGACTCAGAAATACATAAAAGAGTAGGTGAAGAGTACGTTAGAAGAGGAGGAACAAATGTGTTGCAAACAAAAACAACTGTATGGTAGTGCGCGGCACAGTTGTAGTCTGAAATTCTGACATTCTGAGATTCCGAAAGTCTGAAATTCTGAAAATCTAAATGTTTTAGGGTGCACAGTACGGTGACAATCTGACATTCTCAGATTCTGAAATTCTAAATGTTATAGCATGCACAGCACAGTGGTAGTCTGAAATTCTGAGATTCTGAAATTCTAGATGTTTTAACATGAATAGGGCAGTGATAGTCTGACATTCTGACGTTCTGAAATTCTCAAATTCTAAATGTTTTACGTGCGCGGCACAGTGGTAGTCTGAAATTCAGACAGTCTGAGATACTGAAATTCTAAAGTCCTAAATGTTTTACGTGTACAGTTCAGTGACAGTCTGGAATTCTCAAATTCTAGATGTTTTAGCAGGTATAGTGCAATGATAGTCTGACATTCTGACGTCCTGAAATTCTAGATGTTTTAGCATCCAGAGTACGGTGAGAGTCTGACATTCTGAGATTTTGAAATTCTGAAATTCTAGATGTTTTAGTATGCACGCTAAAACACTTAGAAGGTCGGCATTGCAGAATGTCAGAATTTCAGACTACCACTGGGCAAAATACTCGCAATCCGTCGCTAACTTTACTTACATTTGGTACGCAGAGAGCCAACACACGTTGAATGCCGAGCTTGATTGTAATTATTAATTCTTAATCGAAGCATCCTTCGATTGGAAATCAAATTAAGATTTTGCGGTTATCTAAAAAGCATGTTTTTCGAAATTCCAGAACCGCTATCCCTGAACACTTTGAGACTGAGTATGTGGAACGTTTTCAGGAGAATTATGTGGTCCATTCCACTTAGGGTCATGCCTTAATTCTTGCCGGATTGAACTTTTTGATGGAAAGAGAAAGAAGGCAAACGGCTTCATACCAACCCGTTCTTTTGATACAAAACAATGTACGAAGAGAAAAAACTATATAGTAAGTGCCGCATTCTTTGTTTTGGCAGCAATTCCATGTTACAGGAATATCTCTTCAGTTCGGCCTAGGTCTGCCGGCATAGTAATCGAAGTTCAAAAAGCAGTATCATATTTCAGACGTAACAATAAGAGGACAAAAATAAAACTTCAATACACAGATGGAATTGAACACATTGTTTCTTAACATCTCTACCTATGCAAATATAATCATAGACTCACAACACTGTCAGAGGAAACAAAAATTCATTCAGATAATTCAGACATCATTCATATAGACATCCTGACAAAAAAAGCAAGAAGAAAAAGAAAACACACTCAACGAAAGCACTTCATAAAACCAAGTAATTCGATGTGCAAGGTTATATAACAAAGTTACGAAAATACTCGCGCTAAGCATAATAATCGATAAACACTGTAATTATTACATTCGGATACGCTTCAGGTTTCGATAATTACTCGAAACCAAAGCAGATAAGGCAAACTTGGAACGTATTCAAAAAGTCACATTTAACCCGTGCAAACACCTTTCTTTTGATGCTTTCTTATTCATTAATAGCTAATACCTAAACGTAAGAGCCCTTTAGATATGACTGCCCTAGTGAAGCTTTTTTTCTCAAGCACATGAGCAAGCACATACCTCAAGATTTGTCTCCATGCACATGAATTTCTTACTCATGCAAAACGCTTGAGGTATGTGCTTGACTTTCTTGTCTCATGCGC